TGTCTAGCCTTTGTATGGGCCGTTAATCGCTTCCGGCCTTACCTAGACGGGAAATTTATTATTCACGGTCAGGATAGCGCTTAAGTGGTTACACCACACGCAGGACACCAACAGTAAGTTGACTCGCTGGGCGTTACAATTGGGAGCATTCAGCTTTGATATTCAGCACGTGCGTGGTATTGAAAATCAAACAGCAGACTCTCTATCAAGAAGCCTTGTGGAGAAATATCCGGTAGATGAAGATCATTTAGAAAACAACTACCATAATCCATTGTTGATCGGGGAATTATCTGAACGAAGTCAACTAGGGGTAATAAAAAAGGACCCTTACTAGGAAAATATAGTTATGTCTGACATAAGAAACTGGCAAGCCGAAGATGCAACTTTGGCCCAGTATTTCCGGAAACTCTGGAGTGAGAATCCAATTTACCGGCGCTTACACCAAGAATACTACTTGCAAATTGGTATTTTGCTAAAAGGCCAAGTAAATATCAGAACAGACGGAAAGATTATCGTCGTTCCGTCAGACATGTCAGACCACCTGTTATGGAGGTATCACGACCATGTTAATGCCGGACATCCAGGTTGGAAAAAAACTTACCGGAGCATTAGCAATCGTTTCTTCTGGACCGGTATAAGAGAGTCGGTACGTCAATATGTCGCAAGGTGTCACGTTTGTGCTTATGTTATACCGCTGAACCGAAAGCAAGACGACCCGATGTGACCACGACAGCTATGACAGGTTGTTTGTATCGATCTAATGGGACCGTACCCAAGATTTCAATGCGGTAAGACTTGCCTACTTGTAGCGACAGACTGCTACAGTAGATAAGTGGAGGCATACCTTCTTAGTCAAGCGACCGTTAAGATGATCACCAATAATCTAGAAAGAGAGTTTTTTTCTCGTTTCGGCTATGCTAGAGTATTTCTTCCAGACAATGGAACACAGTTCGTCTCCAAAACAATGGAAAAAACACTGGAGCAAAGTGGGGCAAAGAAGGATGGACATCGGCAATTAACCAACCAAGATAAAACATAATAGAACGCCGAAACTAGGGTTTGAAAAAAGGTCTTCATACAGCCTTGGTTGACAAACCACGTTGTCACTGAGACAGCTGTATTCCGAATATACTTTTTTCAATAAGAAATCGTCGGAACAGGCTAACAGGGAGCACCACTGTTGGGCAAGAAGCCAAAGTGAGGGAGTGTTTGAGACCAATGGTAAGTGTCAGTTCAAGCTGCTTGATACGGCCATGAACCATGACACTTCGGGAGGTAATGCTAACAATTATTCTCTGTTACAGGATTACCGACCACCAGTAGCAAAGAGAGGACCACCCGTTACGCCCATCCCGCCAACTAGTTGTTGAAACAGCAACGTTCGTCAGCGATCGTCAGCAGGTATGCAGACTAATGCTCCAGGCAGCTGCTCTCACAGGAGAGCCTTTCGGTGGTATACCGGACAATTGGACTGTGGATCGGATACGACGCACCGAAATGTGGAAGCTTAGGAGACAACCTCTCCTTGGGCAGCCTTCGACTGAGGCCTATTGGATCGAGGACAACATACCGAAACAGGACACAACCGGAGACGGAGAGACAGTTCTACACAACCGCGGGCACACCAGCCAAGGCAACAGTCGCAGGAGCGACAGGAGCCGATGAAACCTAACCGAGTTTTCCGGTGGTGTTTGTCGATGAAGCCCAGGGATATCTATCACACATGGGCATGGACTTCATGCAGCCAGACGAGATGGAAGTGGAGCTAGAAAACGTGGTCTTGAATGCCCCACAAATTGTATTTCCGGACTTCTCTGAGTTTGAGAAAAGACCAGCAGACCAGTCACCTTACGTCATGAGGATAGCCGACCGGTCGGACTAGGAGGGAAGTATGACGCGGTCGCATGTCGCGTGTCACTTCAGCCCATACATATAAATTGTACATATTATAAATTTTAACATGCGCACCATCGAAGTTTTTTTTATGACACTATTGTTAATTACTGGCATATATCATCTTTACATTTCCTTGTTTATACCCAGATTAGTAATTCTTTTAATTATATATTATATAATTTTTATATTGAATTGTTTTCAAATTATTATTGATATTGATTTTTAATATGTTAAAATAATTTTTAACCTTTTTTATTTCGTTCTTTAAAGTGAATGTTTATAATAAAAAAAAAAAAATGAAAATATTACCATAACTTTTAGCTCAACTTACAAGTTTGAAATTGATATTATTAAATAGAAAAAAATGAAATTGTTAAGATTAATATGCAATCAGGAAATTTTATAATTACTATTTGCAGCACATTTTTCAGAAAAATTCAATTTTTTTGCATTTTTATCGTAATAGATAACTGAAATAGAAATAATAGTAATCATTTCCTAATAACATTTGGTGTTTAAAAAGATTCTACAATGGAATTATTCAGAACTTAATTAATTCTAATGATTTACTTTAACTAAATGAACCAAACAAAACAAAGTTGTTAAAAAGATTTACTCAATTGAACGTATTATAAAATTTGATTAANATTGTTTGTATGGACAAATCTAGTTAAGCTACTTTTTATTTGAATAAGGAATATTTTTTTGATTTTTAAGAGTAATAACTTAAACTAATCATTAACTTAAATATCATAAACTTAAATGAATCATTTGACGTATCGTTGAAAAAAGTAGGTCTAGTGAGAGTTGACAAAATAAATCGTAGCCGCAAAAAGAACCACATAGTAAAATAATATTAACATGAATATAAATTTCATCTCACGAGGGGAGACTATAGTAATAAGATCCTTTATATTTATTGAAGTTATTGAATCTAAATGAGATAAATATCAAATGATTTGAAAATTATATTCTAACTCAAAAAAAAAAATGCAAAATATTAAAAGTCACAGACGGACTTGAACCTAGTACCCTAAGAGTGAAAGATACAGGTGTTACCCATTCGGCAACTATTCGTTGTTTTTGTCGCATGATAAAATTGGCTATTTAAGCTAACTCAAATTTAAAAATTACTTTTTCGACTTTAAAAAAGTAAAAAATNAAAAAAAAAAAAAACACATCATAGTAAAATTAAAATTTTAATAAGTTTAATTTCGTATGTCTTATGAACTTTATTCTATGTCAATTAAATTATATAATATTCATGAAAGTCAGTATTTTACCCTAATAAGATATTTTAAAATAAAATAAAATACAAAACTCAGAATTTTAATAAAAAAAATAGCATATTTTTGAATACAGTAGCAATTTGCGCATAGAAGATAGGTCGTCGGGACAAATTTATTTTTAATTCTATAGTACATAAAATAAACTTTAATTTGATATACGTTTAAAGGAGGCAGTATTTCCGTAACATTTTCAAAAGTTCAGTTGAAAAAGTTCTATTTTTTATACAATATTTCAAAGTTTGAACGCCCCCTATATATGGGGAAATTGTCCAATTTTAATATAAAGTATGCCAAATGAATGATGTACTTATAATGTGTTTAGAAAAAAAAAGTTTTTAAGTTGAAAATTTAAAATCGAAAATCGAAAATTTTAACACAAAAATAGTGTTTTTTTAACTACGGCAGCTGTTTAAATGTAGAAGAAAAAGTGTCGGGATAAATTTTTTTTTTTCATTTTATAGCACATAAAAAAAGCTTTAATTTGATATATGTTTGAAGGACGCAGTATTTCCGAAACATTTTGACACAGGTTGATGTTGAAGAGATCGTATTTCTTGCGTAATGCGAGACAGTGCTCTCTCCACTTCAGACATGCGCGCATCCATACGTGTATTAAGAGATATATCGCGTAAACTTTGTCTTACTGCGCCTATCTCCTCCGTTGCGTGAGATATTGAACGCACCGTATATAAGTCCTCGGTATACGCTGCGTTCACACTACCGTTAGGACGGCCGGTTGCCAGAGACCATTCGTGTAGAGATTCCTCTTCAGGGTCCTCTCGCGCCAGGTTAACCGGTCGGTCCGCGTATGTGGTTGGGTCGACGGTCCGGCATAACGCGGGGACTTCGTCAACCTGAGACTCGCGTTCCGTGGCGAGCGTCTCGTAATGAAGCGGCGGGCGTTCGGGCAGAATCGCGTTCGATGGGTCTAGCCCCTCACTGCGTAAGCTATTCTCCAAGACTGCCAGCATATCGCTTTTTGTCGTGGGGCCGTTTAACTGCCTATAAGCGCATTCGCGCAATAATTCCCGACGGTTCATTTGAGCGAGAGTTTTACCGGTCATAGTGAACGTTCCTTACCGTATTTATCGAAAATAAACAAAAATAAATAAATGAAACGCAAGCGCTTATTTGTTTTTGTTATTTAGAAATACGATATCGCAGATCGCGAGAATACGCGCTATGTGTTCGCGTATGAACGTCGGCAATGACGGCCGTTTGTATTATTATTATTATTATTATTATTGTGATTGTACCAATACTGCAATATTTTGTTGATTGTGGTGTTCTATAGCAAATGTAAATGGGGAATGAGATTATTACGATAGCAGTCGTAAAATGATTGTGGAGATCGGAAATAATAATACAAACGATTTTATGGGACCCGGTTATTAAATGTAACGATCGCTGTGGTATGATAACGCGTATGATCGCCCTACCTGCCTAGCGGTTTTATCGAAACACTGAAATGGATGTGTTCGCGACGTTGTGCGATTCAAGGTCGTCAGTGCGCGTGTATGTATAAATACGAAATCGCCAGAAATCCACTTTTACCGTGTTTTAAAAATACACCGAAGGTGGAAATCTACTACTCGCGAGGTAGATAGTATTTATACGACCGGGTGGGAATTTCACTGCTGTCACCAGTGAAATAGAAATTAAAAATACCCGTAGTACAGGAAGGTAAGGAAAATTTCGCTGTCTCTTTTAAATAAAATTCAAAATTTATGTAATTAATATAAAATGTCAGCAGTATTTTCTTACCTTATTAAAAGTTAATCCGGTTTAGATTTCTTTCCGGGGAGCCAGTTGACACAGGTTGATGTTGAAAGAAGAGAGTGGCGTCGAGCCGTTTATTGATTTTAAGAAACACAGGAAAACAAATAGAATACGCACAAAATGCTTAAAACTAAGTTGATGAAAACTAACAATAAAATGTAGATTATGAGGTGCCGAAGTAGCGATTCTAAACTGTTCGGTATTCGGAAAAACGATCACGTATCGATATCACAGATAGCTTGCGGTCGTGGTGTCACGGAGATGACTGACTGGACGTATTATTGCGGCGGGGTATACGACGCTAGGCATTTGTTGGACTTTACACCACGGCGATAACGCGTGTGTGACGGTCCGGTTTACAGTTAAGCGGTGGCTGAGAAGGAGCTGACACGACCGCGGGGTGTCAACGTGTGACAACGCCGTGGCCGTGTCAATTTTTAAAAATTAAGTTGAAAAAGTTAGTTTTTGTAAAAAAGTTGTAATTTTAAATCCCCCCCCATGAGCAGGTTAAGTGGTAAATTTTCAAAAAAATGATATTACATGAAAGGGAAATATCTAACGTTTTAGTTTAAAAAAAAGTTATGTTGATTTGTTGATTTTTGAAAAAGTTATGGAAGTTTTAAGAAAAAAAAGTGGAAAAAATGACAAAATTTATCGATTTTTAAATTTGTAATTTTTTTGGATATTTCTCCCATTTGCGGGGAACGAGGGAAAATTTTTTAATTTTTAAGGGTAATGTCTTCAACTAGATACAATTTGTGATCTTTTGACGTATTGTTAAAAAAAATCGGTCCAGTGAGAGTTGAGAAAAAGTAGTGACAAACAAAAAAAAAAAAAAAACACATCATGGTAAAATTAATATCTTCTCAGCTTCGCATCGAAGCTAAAATTAATTATAAAATATTCAAATATTATCAATTTAAAAAATGGATTCTAAATTCTAAAGTATGTACTTTAATTCTCATAATATTATTAAGATTAAAACAAGGTATTTAATTATTTCTTACTCGTAAAGGCCATATGTTTTTTTAACCCTGTAAAGTATTATAAGCACATTTTCAAAATGAAATCTATCATAACATTTTTATAATTTTTTCATATATTTAATAAAGGTATTCGAGCCTAATAAGTTACAAAAAGTGATCTACAGATATGTTCCCGATGGTACAAACTTTCTTTTGATACATATGTATGTAGTAAGATAGTAGAAAATGAAAATTTAGTCATTTTTATGCTATTTCTTCATTTTATCGGGAATCGGATACTAAAGTTGTGCCAATAAAATGTTAGTTGAATCGACAGTAATTTATCCAGCAATTATTTACAACAGCTAATTTTTTTCCTGATATTAAGATATAATAAAAATAATAATATTGTATATATTACTTATGAAGGGCCATTCTTTTTTTAACACTGGAAAGTATTATATAAAACATTTTTGAAATGAAAATTGTTTTAAAATTTTCTTATATTATTATATAAAATGTAATATTATTGTAAGTTAAATAATGCAAACTGAAATTTTCATAATAATTTTATTAGGTGTTAAATATGAAACAATATTTAAAAATGTATTACAATATAATGTCTTACTTTTTGCAATCTCTTCATCATTTAAATCTAAAAAGTATTAAAAAAAGTTGATATACATTTTTTTTATATTTTTGATATAACATATCCTTAAGGTACATGATGATACACCCACACTTTTAAAGAACACGAAAAAGTGAGCTACAGAAATAATCTCGATAATACAAACTTCTTTTTCATACATAAGTATATAGATGTATTCAGTGGCGTGACCAGGGGGGGAGGTTAGGGGTCATATTCCTCCTAATTGCGTTTTTTTCTACCATCGAGTACCTAACAGCAATAATTGAATAAAGTTGTAATTTTTACATAGTATATTTGTATAACAACATTACATCATATAAATGTTATATATCAATAAATGTTTACAAATAACATTCACAAGATCTAAATCTTTTATTCATAACCAATATATAATTGATGGTTGCAATCTTAGTGTAGTTAACCATGTGAAAGACTTAGGTGTTTTCTTATCTAGCGACTTATCATTCTCAAAACACATTACTTATATTTGTAATAAAGCTTCTAAGACACTAGGATTTTTAAAACGTAATTGCAATGAATTTCAAAATTAACATGTTGGAAAACCTTATATATTTCACTAGTACGGTCTATTTTGGAATATGGGTCTATTCTAGGGTCACCTTATGTGCAGAGTGATATAAATAAGATTGAGTCCATTCAACGTCGTTTTTTAAACGTAATCTCTTCTAAAATTAAAAATAATGAAATTAATCATAAAAAGTTACTTGAAAATCTAAAAATGCATTCTCTTTTGTGTAGAAGAAATTGTTTAGATGTTATATGGATTTATAATCTGCTAAATAATAAAATCAATTGTCCCGAAATTTTAAACTTAATACCGATGAACGTTCCTCAAGTGTCTCTCCGTTTCTATCCAATGTTTTTTATATCTATTCATACACAAAACTATAGTAGAAACGCTCCGGTAAATCGAATGTTGAATTTATGTAATATAATAAATAATTTTGATTTTTATCATGATTCTTCAACATCATTCTGGTCTATTTGTTGTAAAACGTTTAATTCATAATACCATAATTACATACACTTTTTTAGCTAACTTGTTTGTAACGTATTTAGTATTATTGAATTTTTATAATCATTTAATTATTAAGTTAATTTCACTATGTTATTATCTGTACTATTTGCCTCACAGGCGTAATCATCCATTATGATGAAATAAATAAATAAATAAATATATTTGTATAACAACATTACATCATATCATACAAAACACAAAATATTAATAAATATTTTAAGCAGGCTTGACCTCTAAAGCCCCCTTATTAATCTTTTTCTAATTCTTTCACCTCCATTAGATGTATTTAGTTGTATTAATACCTATTAGTTATGATATTCCTCCCCATTTAAAATTCCTGGGCACGCCACTGAATGTATTTAATATGAAAGCAGTCATTGTAAGTTTTTAACACGCTTATATTAGTTTCACCTGTATGCATGTAAGTATGATGGTAACTCTCCATGCGCCACGTGTTATTATTCTCGCGTATCCCGTCGTCTATGGCCTTGAGACTAGACTGTTGTAACGCATTCACCACACCCCGCGCCACGCTTATCACACTCCAACAACACTATTCCTATATAAATTAATTTTTCGTTATCGTACCCGTACATGCGTGCGTGTCATCAAATTTATATATTTATACAAATGTTTATTTCGACTAAACAATACCGCTCTCGTGCCATAAGACTTACGTATATATATTTATATATTCCTAACTTCCCCCCCCCACCACAAAACACGTCTATACCTTGTGCATGATACGTTTACGTTTAAATCGCTTTACATGTATATATATATTCTAATTACTATTAAAATTTATATATTAACACGCTTTATTCTCATTAAGAGATATAAAGAGTATTCATTTCGATTACGGTGATGATTTCTGTATAGTCATTTTTCGTCACTACCTCCACGTTCCGGTAGTGAGTAATTTGCGCGCCTGCTGCTTTCCTTGGATGTGGTAGCCGTTTCTCAGACTCCCTCCCCGGAATCGAACCCTTACTTCCCGTTACAACCATGATATTGATAGTAACTACTATCATAACATGAAATTAAAAAGTAAAAAATAAATATAGTTTAAAAAAACTATAAAACACGCTTTTAAATCACATCGAACTAAAAAGTTAAAAATAATTTTTAAAATAAGCTTAAAACAATAATGAACGAAAATACTAGTATTATTGTGATAAAAGCGTGAGTGATTTGTGCCATATTTTTCGTATATAGAGCGCCTAACGCTTTTATCGCAATAATACTAGTATTTTTTGTTCTTAATTGTTTTAAGCATATTTTAAAAATTGTTTTTAACTTTTTAGTTCGATGTGATTTAAAAGCGTGTTTTTTTAATATTTTTTTTAACTATATTTATTAGGTTATATCTTAATTTTACTGAGAACTAAATAATACAATAATTGTGTTATTTAGTTCCCAATAAAATTATTATCACAATTATTGTGTCAACAAAATCTTATTTGGAACAGCAATAATTTATTTAATGATAATTTACTATATTTAATTTTTTCCCTGGTTTTAAGACATAATAAAATAAATATTTTTTTAATTACTTGTGTTAAACAATCCAATTTTAATCACTAGAAAGTATTATAAAAAAAATGTTTATAATGAAATTTGTTACAAAGTTTTTTTCATTTGTTGATATTGTATATTTTTAATAAAGGTATTCGTGCATAATAAATTACTCACATATTCATATAGCTTATGAACAAAGTGAACTACAGACATTTTTCTGATATTACAAACTTCTTTTTTATACATATGTATAGTAATATTTAAAAATGTATTATAGTATAAATTATATTTTCTTACATCTTAAGACATCTTGTTGGTAATAATCTGAAAAGAATTATAAAAAATATATTTAAAATAATATGTTATACATTTTTGATATTGTATATCCTGAAATAAGGTACATGATGCCACTCCCACACTCTTAAAGAATTCAAAAAAGTGAGCTACAGAAATAATACCAATAATACAAACTTGTTTTTCATACATAAGTATATGCACGTATTTCGTAAGAAGATAATCAACGTAAATTTAGTTATATTGAGACTTTTTCTTAATTTTATTGGGAACTCGATATTACAGTTGTGCCAGAAAAATCTTAATTGGGTCAACAGTAATTTTTCAATAATAATTTACTACGGCTGATTTTTTTCCTGGTATTAAGAAATAATAAAATTAATAATATTGTGTACATTACCTACATGGGGCGCTAATTTATACATCTCTGTAAATTATTAAAAAAAAAAAAACATTTGTTTAAGGAAATTTGTTACAAAGTTTTTTAATTTTTTGATATTGTATATTTTTAATAAAGGTATTCAGTCATAACTTACATATTCATATAGAACGCGAACTACAGAAATGTTTCTGATTGTTCAAACTTCCTTTTTATACATATGTATATGGATGTATTTTGTAAGAAGGCAAATTTAGCCATTTTTTAATTATTTATTAAAAATTAAAAATTAATGAATTATAAAAAATTGCATTATAATATTATATAAAATATTTAAATATTATCAACTTAAAATATGGATTTAAACTATAAAATATAAACTGAAATTCGCATAATAATATTATTAGATCTTTAAAATATAATAATATTCAAAAATGTATTATAATATAAATTATAATTTCTTACTATTTAAGAAATTTTCAAGTTTTGTTTCTGGAAAGTTTTATAAAATAACATTTTTATAAAGTAAGTTTGGACTAGTTATAAAAACATGATTTATTTAAACTTCCATTCTCTTCATGACCGTAACCTGACACATAGATTTCATAATTAAGTTTTGTGTCATTTAGTCATTAAGTCATTTTGTGTGTTTCTAAGACACACTCTGTGAATGTGTTAAATTTATTTTTGCTATTTTTTTTACGAATAATGGGAACAAAATAAGGAATATAATACGAACTCAGCTTAAAATTCATACAAACATAAAAAGTTTACTCTGAACTTATGTTCTTTAGTAACACATTGAAAATAGTCAACCATATAAATGACGAATATAATAACGAATAATACCAAACAGTACCCAATCTTAAGTCCATGGCGTGTTACAGTAGAGCCCTACGCAATTAACTATAAACGCTATGATTTTTTCGCTGAAGGAAGGAACATTAATACACATCGTTTTGCGTATTAATTTCATTGGACAACGTGCACAGGTGAATTAAAAACATTAAACATCAAAATAAACAAAGCCAAACAGAGACTTGTACATAAAGTGCCGCACAACACGTACGCATTAAAAGTCACATGGATATGCTAGTGACGACATTCGGACACACTCTAGCAAACAGTAAAACCAGTTAGGGCAGGTCGCGCTCATGACGATGTAAAAATTGAAACTCACCGCGCTATCACTCTTTGGCACGATCGCTGCTGTGCTAAAACAGGATAACTCCAGTCAACATAATTTTTCAGGAACACAAAAAAACGTTTTTAACAGTAAATCAAGATACCCTTTTTTCCCAATATATAAACATAAGTCAAAAGATGGTAACTCCATTATTTTTTATGTGATATACTAAGTTTTTGCTTAGTATTTGGATTTACCGTGTTTTCGCTTACAAAACATCAAATATATTGAACTTACCGTATATTTTTTTATTTTATATTTCAATTTTAGATGGGTTTTAATAGGAAATATGCTACTTTTACATCAAAAATCGGTGTAAAACCACTAAATTTACCTTTAGAAACAAAAAAAAAAATTTTTTAATTTTGGAGTTATCCTGTTTTTGCTTAGCATGGCAGATCGAACAGCTATGAAAAAATTCACTATAAAGTAAAATACACTTGCGTTATTTATTTAGTTATATTGTCTTACAAATATCCATTTTTTTAACTCGATCTGATATTCTTAAGAACTATGCGTCTTCAGATAACACAAAACATAATACCATAGTATTTGTTAGTACTAATCAGAAATCAGAAATATCATTTTAGACTACTTAGAATAAAGCCAATGCATTAGGATAATATTATATAATTATTGCTATTTTCGAATTCCATGTCAGTCAAGCTTAATAAACGTGTTTCATAAGCGACAACAAGTGAGCAGATACACGGCATTGAACGACAAGGGGAGTAGCGATTGATTTATCGTCTTTTCACCCAAATATGTTCCCCTTCCGTTATTATTTATATGACCGCTGCTGTATCGCGTATAGTTAGGGGCCACGCGTCTGCTGTGTTTTTGATTATGTAACACATTGATTTTGTTAGACTTGGTTAGCACCGACTCCAAAAATCGCATTAATAAATGTAACAATAATATATAATAATTATGTATTATTATGCAAATACATTGATTTAATCCAAGTATTCTTATAAACTATACGTTCATTAGAATTTGGAGTTAACATTATTATTCATCAGATTTAGTGTATTTTTCATAGCAGATATTTCTTTTTTAGTTATGTGAATTATGATAACCATACTATACAGTATAGTTGCAGCCACCGAGCAGTGACTATCGCTCTGAAGATGGACTCTGCAATGAGTTTGTAATGTAATATACTTTATTATGGAAAAAAAAATTTCGGACTTTACGGTAAAAAAGGCAACCAAATATGTTTGTGTGACAATTTTCAATTTTCAATTTTACTTTTTTAACTTTATATTTATATAATTGTTGAAAAATGTATTAATTTATAAAAATACAACTTTTCCGCGAGAAGTATTATTTATATACATCTTTCATTCGACATACTTTTTTTTGAAATCAAACCATTACCCTTTATACAGGGGGGGTTCAAAACTAAAAAATGCATATAAAATGTAGAATTTAAAATGGATTTAACTTTTTCACAAAAAATTAACTTATAGAAATTAATTATTGAAAGTGTTCCTGAAATACTGACACTTTTATATATATCTTAAATTAAAGCTAATGTAATATACTTTTTTATGGAAAAAAAAATTTCGGACTTTACGGTAAAAATGGCAACCAAATGCTATGTTTGTGTAATAAAATAATCCACCAATTTTTTAAAATTAAACATAGTGTTTTGCAGATTTGCTTTTAAGCGTTTTTTATGATAGTGATTTTAATCATTGTCAGATGTCAACTATACTGGACCAAATTATACTACGTCCCCACTTTGCCGCGACCCCATTGTGCTGGGTATTTTATTATTTATTTTATGAAGTTTTTAATTGTACATACTTTTTTAAAATTACATATTCTATAATGATCTACTAGGCGCTGTAAGTATCTAGAGGAGTTAGCATTAATAGAATTGGTTTATGAGCTTCTTAATAAAGACAATGAAGATAATTCAACACTGACTATGAATATCGCCTACATGCCGTTCACTATCTCAACTCTATATTTAAAAATATAAATAACTTCTGAAGTACTGGTTCAAAAGTTTTCATTTCTTAATAAGATTACTTTTTAGTTATTAATCTAATTAAATAAGTATATTTCTATTAAAAAAATATATAGTTAATAAATTATAGAGGATGAATATAATGAATATTTAATAGTTTTTTCTTAACATAATTGTAATTTTAAAAGAAATAAAGTGAATCATTTTAAAAATATCTCTCTTTATAATAACTGCATTTAAATAAAATAATTGAACTCCTTATTATATTTATTGTATATAATAAAATCAAGTGATTATCAATAATAACAATATACTAATACTCGTATGCATAGTTATTATTTTTTTATTATTATTTTGATGGTGTCACGTTACCATTATCGTGAGAATTATTTTAATAAAATACAGACAGCACATCCGCTGCCTGAGACTGATGAATTAACAAATAATATTTATTGCCAAATTGGCAATAGTTCTAATTATTATAAAAACCCAAAAGACCTGACCATCGTCGTCAATTGACTCCAGTGCTTTGTGTCATTCATCAGCCTCAGTACTCGGTTGTCGCTGTCCGGCTTACTGCTTAAAGTAAAGTCTTTGTTTATTCCTTTTTAAACCTATCTACTCTCTTCCACAACATTTCAGAATATTTGTGTCTTGCACTTCGTCTGCACCTCATACATAAGTGTTACCCTGATTTCCTTCCTATAACAACAGCCTTTCGACACCCACAGCTAACCCGGAGTGTCAGTAAAGCACGGTGACTGCTGTACGACAATACGCACGTGAATACCTAGACAGTAGGCATCATATCCTCATATTCATCTTCGTACACATTTACCATTTACATTCACCTCCGTTTCATTTTATTGTGTTACGATATTATTATTTATGGGACTCATGTATTTATGTTATATTAATTTTATTTATATTGGTAACTTATGGGATTAGTAATAATATACCATTGAATAGTCTTCCTTATGAGAGGGCTGGTTAGTTAAGGGATACATAAAGTAATGTGGTAAATTCCTACCACATAAACTTTATGTGATACATCTGTAATTAGTTTTTTAATGATAAGGTACGTTTTGTTCCATGTATTATGCAACGTGATAATATTTTATTTATTAATAATCAAATTTTATTTACAGGTATGGATAAATTTTTCGATTTTATGAACTTTTGGAGTACATTGAATTAGAAATAGGTGATGTACATAATAATGTGCAAAATAGGTATCTTCGTAATGTCGATGACCCGTTTGAATTATACAGTGAAAGCCAATTTTTTAAACGTTATCGTTATCCAAAAAGAGTTGTACTTGACACTTTCTTGGAATTGATAACTATTATATTTTCAAAAAGTTATAGGAATATAAAGTTATAGATATGAATCATAAAATCGAGAAATTGTCCACAAAAATCGTGCGTTTTTCTTTATTTTTGATGTCCGTTTTTATCACGAAGATAAGTCTAGATGTCAAATATTTTTTTCAAAATAAAGTATATTACATTAGTTTTAATCTGAGATATATATAAAGTTTGAATCCCCTATAAAGGGAAATAGTCCGATTTCAAAAAAAGTATGTCGGATAAAAAAGCTATATATAAAGTATTTATCATAAAATATTTTATAAATCCATACATCTTTAAAAATACTATAGCAATATAAAGTTAAAAATAAAAAATATAAAAACGAGAATAGTAACTCTTACCATACATTACCCTGACCCCCATATATTTAATTTTTTTTTTTTTTTTTGAGTTACTATAAATGGCGCACAATAAATAACTTATTTCAATTTTTTTTTTAATAAAAAAATGACTAACTTTTAAATAGCTAAAAAATTTGTATTGAAAATGAGTTCCTCTTAATTTTAAGTAAAATAAATACTAATTTAAGTACACAAAGTAAAAGATATTAGAATAATGTGAAGTATAGTAAAAAATTAAAGAATTCAGAATTTATATAGTGAATATTGATATTAAAATTGAGAGAAGAATTATTTTATTGAAAAGAAAAATTAAAATAAAACTTAATGTAAGAGATGCCTGAATTAAGAAAAAATTTTATTTAATCCTACAAAAATTTTAAGTAAGATAATTTGAGAATGAGAAATTAAAGTAAAAAGTAATTAATTGTACACACTATTTAAAATGACATATTCTATGGATAAATCCATTAGGCGCTGTAAGTATTTAAAGCAGATTGCTTTAATAAAATTGTTTTATGATAGATATGTTGATTAAATAGTGAAAATGGAAATAATATGTTTTAAATGATAATAGCATAGTATAAGTTTATTTTAATTTGCAACCACCACCTGTTAATTAAACTTTTAATTATATCTTACCATTGGAGTCATCGCTGGAAATTTCATTTACAACACAAAATAATAACAGAGCCAAAAACCAAATTGACATTATTCTTTTTATTATAGTTATCTAAAATAAATAAACTTACTATAATAATCATTTAAAATTTTGCTAAACAAAAGGCATTTATGTACCTTCTCAACCTTTTTGTAATATTTATGTTGAATGAAATAATGTACTTACTCGAAAAGAAGATTTTTTTTATTATGATAAAAATTAAATGTATTAAATACTTAAATATTTTATTTGCAATTTAAAATAATTATTATGTGTTGTTTTCATTAACGGCGAAGTAATTATCAATAAATCAAATTTATAATAAGACAATATCAGAAATAATTTCTTCAAAATATGTTTTGTATTTACTTTTTTCTAAGTTTATTATATCAACATCAAAATGACGTCATAGAAATTCATAAGTATTTGTAAAATATATCTGATATGACGTTGAATTAAAATTTTTTAATTTGATATTATTCAGATATTATTTAGAAACTAATTATAATTAGCTAATTTGTCTATTTCCATCAGGCAAGTTGAGAAACTTTCTATTATGAATAGCATATTTTTGAGGGACTAATGTTGACAATACATCTTTGAAATAATAGGATAGTTTTATTATATTATTATTTTCTAGATAAGCCTTTCAAAAAATATCGAATGATAACAAATTTAAGAACATTTATAAATGTTACATTCATAGTTTATAATACACATGGAAAAATTATTTTTTAAAAATATGTAATCACATGAAGTTATCTGTAAACCTAGGACTTACATACTGTAATAAACCAAAAATAAAAAGAAAGAAAAGAAAAAGAGAAAAATAGAGAGTGAATATTAGGGTGGCTTATTAAGTTATTATAATCATTATTTATTATAAGTTTTTGATTACTATGACACAATAATAGTATATTTTCTATGGAAATTTGAGTCTAAACATTCATTATTTAATTATTTTGCTTTAGTACAATTTAAAGAATAATTAATAGTGTTTATATTTCTGTAAAATACAACAATGCCACAAAAAAAAAACGTATTTAAAAGAGTTATAAATTTTGTTAGGAAGTTGTGTAAAAGAAAGAATAAAAAAAATGTAGCAGATATGAAGACAACAAATGAAAACGTTGCTGCGAATGGAGACTCGCATTTTCTCGTATAATTGTAAGCACATCTTGTAAATTTATGCATTTAAACAATATTTTTGTAATTTTCCAAAAACACTTAGTCCGTTTAAATTTATTATAAGATATTACAAAAATTCAAACAAATTTTCTGAAAAAAGTGGACAGTGGACAAAAACTATGCCCGACAAAATAACCGACTTAAAGAAATCAATAAAACGTAAAATTTTAAATAATCCAAAATTGGAAAATATCATTCGAAGTAGTTATTAATATTTTAAATTATTATTCTATAAAGATATTTAATGACTCTGTAATAGATATTTAGCATTTATAATTTTATTTTATTTATANCATGGGATTGTAAATACAGGTAGCTAATTGGATTTTTATGACATTGCTGTCTCAGTCACGGATTGTTTATTATCAATTATGATTATCAATAGATATACTTTCTGTATTGTCAGTTAGTGTATTTATAAACTCATAACAATGTGCCTTACTACAATTGATAATAACAATGCTGTGTATCTGCTAATATCGATGTTATAAAAAACCAATTAGCTACCTATATTTGTAATCCCTTGTGTATTATACCTGTATATTAATTCAAAAATTTGAAACTTTAAATGATTATATCTAATAAACGAATTAAGTTATATTAAAAATTCAAATGCCATTTACTATTAAATTAAAAACTCAAACATTTTATTTAATTAAAAATATGTGTTACCATTTAAAAAAACAAAGTTGACCCCCTTCCAAGGCATAAGGGATGAACTTAAAAAGTATTACATAATTAAAAATTCAAGAATAATGTGTAACTAAAGATAATGAAAAAAAAAAATGTTTAAATTATTATTATTCTGAAAGTAATTGAGTGGGTTATGATAAAAAAATCACCCTGTATACCGTATGCTTTATTTTCACTTTGTAGCTAGACGTACAACAATCCGTTAACCATAACATCTATATTCTATTATTATTCCTTCATCTTTATTTCTATGACAACTTAGTTTAAAAAATAAGGAAATGTACCCTGACTACACATATTATTAATTGTCTTAAAGTATCCATAATGTATACTAAAATTATATTTAATAGATCAAATTCAAGAATTTTTTAAGGGAATCTACTGATTATTTGATAAAAAATAATAGTGGTCCAGAAAAACTTAAGGAAGAGGAAAAATATATGAACAAAAGACTAACCTAGTTGAAGGACTTACGGCACATTAATGGTAAATCTATATTTTGAAATTTTATAGAAAAAAACAACAAGAAAATGTTTGTATATATTGATAAATTTAAGTACTGGATTAATTTTATTATAATAAATCACTCTGTATGTTTTAAAATATGAAAATTTGATAGATTGTATTCCTCCAGCTCCTCCACTTTTCCAAGTTCTACCAACGCTTCTAAAAGCGGACAATAATATTAAAAACAAAGGTAAAGTTTATAGACCAGCTCTACCAATGAATCTTTTGGATGAAATCAAACGCGGTGTTATATTGAAGGTAAAATTTTTATAAATTAATAATTAAGTATGGTGCAAATTGCAAATGTGTTTTAGCTTCGATGCGAAGCTGAGAAGGTATTGGTTTTACTAAGATGTGTTTTTTTTTGTTACTGTTACCACTTTTTCTCAGCTCTCACCGAACCGATTTCTTTCAATAATACGTCAAAAGATCACAAATCGTATCTAGTCGAAGACATTACCCTCAAAAATTGAAAAAATTTCTCTCGTTCCCCGTAAATGGGGGAAATCACCGAAAAAATTACAAATTTAAAAATGGCTAATTTTCGAAATTTTTTCAATTTTTTTTACTAAAAACTGCCGTAACTTTTTTAAAAATAAACATATTAATATAATTCTTTTTTTTATAGATGCATGATGTCATTACCTATCATTTGGTATAATTCTTTTATAAATCTGACTTTTTACCTGCCCAAAGGGGGGGATTCAAACTGACAACTTTTTCAGAAAAAATTTACTTTTTCAACTTAAATTTTGAAAGTGTTCCGGAAAGTCTGACACTTTTATATATATCATAAATTAAAGCTAATGTAATATACTTTATCGTGAAAAAAAAAATATCGGACTTTATTTTATCTTCAGGGTGAAAATGGCTACCGAATGCTATTTTTGTGTGAAAATTTTCGATTTTGTATTTTACATTTTTAATTTTATTATGCTATAACTATTTGAAAAATGTATGGATCCATACAATTTTTTCATGAGAAGCAGTATTTATATACATCTTTCATTTGACATAATTTTTTTTTAAATCGGACCATTTCCCTATATTTGAGGGGGGTTCAAATCTAAAAAATGCATGTAGAAAGTAGAACTTTTTCAACTTAACTTTTGAAAGTGTTCCGGAAAGTCTGACACTTTTATAGTATCTTAAATTACAGCTAATGTAATGTACTTTATTATGCAAAAAAAAAAAATTTCGGACTTTATTTTGTCTTCACGGTGAAATTGGCTACCAAATGCTATTTTTGTGTGAAAAGTCTCGATTTTATTTTTAACTTTATAATGCTATAAACTTTATAATGCTATAACTTATTGAAAAGTGTATGGATCACCATAATTTTTTTATGAGAAATAATAATTTTTAATAATCCCTTTTTCATTCGATATACTTTATCTGAATCAGGATATTAATAACGAACTAGCAGATCATGTTGCTTTTGGAATAATCCACATATTTTTTAAAATTAAACACTATCTAAAGATTTGCATCGAAGCGTTTTTTATGATAGTGATTTTAATCACTGTCAGATATTATTATACTTGATCCAAATATGTCACGTCACCACTGTGCCACGACCCCCCTTTGCTGGGGTTTTTTTTTTTATTCTCATTTCAAGTTTTTCAAGATTATTATTATTTATATCTCGAGTAGATCAGGTAATTCTAAAAAGAATTATATTATATTCTAAAGTTTTAGTGGCGCGGTGGATACACTAGATGTTGACAAACCCTAGTATTAAGTCACGCTTGCCGCCGTAGTGTACGGAGGGTCGACCATACGTGCATTTTAAGGTGGTAAAATGCACCAGGTCCCAAGTGTAAAAGGCAACGGTAAACCACTGCACTTATCCCTTCCCTAGTAATATCAGTTGATCTTAGGTTATCTGGTATCCAACACACAAAAACGGGTAGGAATTAAAAGAAGAAGAAGTTTTAGTCATAAAAACTGGATTAGAATTAATAATTTTTTTTTTTTTGTTTTTTTAAAAGATTAATATTTGAAGAATTGGCGATTGAAATATACAAGACAGTATCAAATGACTATTTTAAACAGTAGTATTTCTTTTTTAATTGAATTCATCCCTAATAGAGATGTTTTATTTGTGAAACTATCTTACATTTAAGAGTTATGAGCCAGTTTTTTATAACACCTGTATTAACGACTTTGAATAAATATGTTGACTAATAGATTTTAGTTTTTTGGCCATACTTTGAAAATATAAAAAATTAGCGAAAACTAATATTTAATTTTTGAATTTATCTTTGATTTTCGTTTTAAGCACAAAAACAAGTCCAAAACTATTTTTTTATTTAATATTTTATATTAATATTGTATAAGCTATAATTTAAGGTAAATGTGTTGAAAAATGTTTCGAATGCTAGGAGTGACGACTATTTTCTCATATCGTGGGTTGCATTACAAATCATGTAACTTAATATAGCAGATATGTAAATAAGAAACATGGCCAATAAAATAAATCAAAATAAATTATTTATTTCTATATTTTGAGTTAAGTAGAGTAGTTGAACAAATGTGCAAAAAACATGTGGTTCTTAAAATTAATAAAAATCAAAAATAATGTATTTGCTAAATTTATAGTTTTATAGATTATTCATTATAACTATTTATTGAGAAATTTAGTAGCAATTAAAAAAAAAAACTACAAAACGTCAAGGCTTATTAATTTATAGACTTAAATTTCAATTTTCAATGATAACTGAACAATAGAAAACATGTTTTTACTAATATTGTTAGTACAGTGAAGACAATAAAATAATTAAAACTAGTTTTTACACCTTCATCAATAAATAAAATGTTTATTTCTTTTTAAATAAGAATTATTATATATTAAGAAAAAATTGTATTTATTAAACGCTTTATTTCTATTTTGAAAATACATAAAAATGACATTTTTTTAAACCTAAATCAACATAGTATTGTTATAAAATAAATAGAATTTCAATTAATCTATCATTTAAACTGTTTAACTTATTAGTTTTATTCGAAAACGTCAATTTATCAAACCAAAAATGTATTTCTACATTTTCATCGTGATGTATCTAACTAGTTGTCTTTCGAACGCAATTTTTTCGAATTTCTACCTTTGGACGAGGTGAAAAGATATTATTTAATTATTAATAAAAGTAAATTGTAAAATGTTTTCAAATTACAAAATTCATTTTGATGTGGATTATTTTTTATTTTATCTTATATAGATATAGCATTTTAACATTACGCATCAAATTTAATTCAAATTTGATTTTAGAATAAAAAAAAATTAGCCATAGTTTTATTCGAGAATTAAAATCTCATGAAAATAGTTAGTAATGCAATAATTAAAAGTAGCTCATACTTTAATTTTAAACTATGGTTACCATATCAAAATAATAAAAATATTTTTAACAAAAAATGAGCATTTTTCTCTTAAAAAAAAATTTTTCCAAAACGGATTTTAGTTTTTTTTTTATTTAACTATTCTTATATAAAAATACGGTAGCATAGTGTATTGCAGCTATGTGTGGACGTGGCATAGTTGGGACAAATATAGTAGATTGATAGTTCTTTAATTTATATGTATTATATATGAATACATTTTTGCTACTCATCAATTAATACACTGGTCTACAAGGAATTTTCATCAGAGACCAAAATATACTTTTTTAAACCTTTTTGCGCCGATTTAAAATTTGCAATTAGATTGTTTTTATCATATCTTTTTGAGATTATTACTATGTATCTAACTACTAGTTTTTCAAACGCAATTCTATTCAAAAATTCACCTTTTAACGAGGTAAAACGGTATTATTTAATTATTAATAAAAGTAAATTCTTAAATTTTTTCTAATTAAAAAATTTATTTTGAGAAATATATAAATATTTATTAAGATGTAGATTATTTATTTTAAATAATTTTGTCGTATATTGATATAGCATAAAATTTAATATAAATTTGATTTTAGAAAAAAAAAAATTGGTCATGGTTTTATTCGAGATCAAAATCTCATGAAAATAGTAATGCGATAATTAAAGTGTAGCTAATACTTTAATTTTAAACTATGGTTGCCATATCAAAATAATAAAAATATTAGCGGGTTTTATTTATTTATTTATTTTTTAACAAACAAGGAGCGCTTTTCTTTTAAATAAGAATTTTTCCAAAACTGATTTTAGTTTAATTTTTTTGGATTTAACAATTTTTATAAAAAAAAAATGGTAGTACAGTGGGGTTACATCACAGTGTAGTCGTGGCATAAATGGGACACGTTTACATGATTAGTGGTTTTTTCTTTACATTTATATGTATAATATTTGGATACATTATTGTTATTTATGAAAAAATACACTGGTCTACAAACAATTTTTACCAAGGCCAGAATATACTTTTCTCAACCCATTTTTGAAAAAAATTAATAACAAATACTAAAAAATAACACTTAGTAAAATAATTTGAATATGATTAATGAATTTCTTCACACGACGGGAGACTACAGTGATAACGTCCTTAATATTCATTGAAGTTATTGAATCTAAATGAGATAAAGATCAAATGAATTAAAAATTGTTTTCTAACTTTAAAAATGCATAAAATTTAATGCCACAGGCGTATTGGTATATCGCACCCTAAGCATGAAGAGACACTAATGTTACCGATACAACTACTGTACGTTGTATTCGTCGATCAATAAAAATGGCAATTTAGGCTAGTTCAAATTTCAAAGTTATTTTTCTCGACTTAAAAGAAACAAAAAATTGAAATAAGTTTAACGTAATATACTATGTCAATTTGATTTATATAATATTTATAAAAATCAGTGTACTCCACTTGTAAAGTATTATAAAATAAAATACAAAAGCGAGAAATTTTTACACAAAAAAGCATATTTTTAAATATAGTAATCATTTTCACCATGAAGACTAACCAAAGTTCAAGTATATTACATAAGCTACAATTTAAGATATGTATAAAATTGTCAGTGTTTCCGGAACATTTTCAAAAGTCAAGTTGAAAAAGTTAATTTTTTGTTGAAAAGTTATTATTTTGAATCCTCCCTGTGGGCATATATAAAAATACGGTTCTATTCATCTATTTATCAAAAAGTTATGACAGTTTTAGTAAAAAAAATTGAAAAAATGTCCGAAATTACCAATTTTTTAATTTGTAATTTTTTCGGAGATTTCCTCCATACACAGGGAACGAAAGAAATTGATTCCATTTTTGAGGGTAATATCTTCGGTTTGTTAGATTTGTGATCTTTTGACGTATCGTTGAAAGAAATCGGTTAGGTAAGAGCTAAGAAAAAAAGTTAACAGATACAAAAAATAATCAAATTAATAACTTCACAGCTTCTCATCAAGCCTAAAATAAGGGGATTCGTCCCCTTTTCATCTCTTTCTCAATACGTCTATTTAAGTTCACTTATTTCTTATGAATACTTTCAAATAAGTTTTTGTACAAGTTGTTAAAATTGTTTGAATTTCCAATTTTTACGCAAAATGATAATTTTTTTTTAACTTGGATGTCAGTTTTCACCACAAAGACAAGTCCAGAGGACAAATTTCTTTCTTCAAATTAAAGTTAATTTTTAAAAAAATTATGACAGTCTTAAGAAAAAAAAAGTTTAAAAAATTACCGATTTTTAATACTTTAATTTTTTGAATGATTTCCCTCATTTACGGGAATATTGAATTTTTTTTCAATTTTTGTGCCTAATGTTTTTAGCTAGATAGATTAATTGGAGATAAATGCGCCATTAATTCTCCCTCATCTACAATAAAATTATAATATATAAGATTTATGTTATAATTATAAATATTTTCTTTTCTTTTTTTTTTTTATATAGTTTCCTATAAAAATTACAATATTAAGTTATTAAATATCAATATCAGAAAAATTTTAATTTAAATACTATATTAATTATTAATTTATATAATTTATCTATAAATCATGAAAGTTTTCATTAGGAAAACTGGCTTAAGAAAATAATAGTTGATTTGCTTTTGGAATAATCCAACAATTCATTATAAAAATTAAACACTATCTACAAATTTGTATCGATGCGTTTTTTATGAAAATAACTTTAATCAGTGTTTCAAACTGTTTTTATCTAAAAATTTTAATTAATATTATTATTAACTCTAAATTCATAAAATTCAATTAAATGACAATTAATTATTTATTTTAGAACTTGGAATTGATTAAAACATGCCAGAATAAATTGATAGGTTTGTTTGATAAATATGATAATGAAGGTATGGACTTAAAAATGTTTAAAGACCTATTGAGTTATTTTAAAATGGTACACAATTTGAATGATAGTAAAATTGAAACATTATTCATTGATGAAGTTAAAAATAGTAAGTAAAATTCTATTATAACTGATTATTTTAATATATTTGCATACTTTTTATTTGTATCGTTCAAGTTAATAGGTACAACAACATTTTGGTTTAAGACAGTGGTTAAAGTGGGAAAAACTAGAAAGGGGCACAATAGTTTTTAAAAAAATGATGGCGTTCCCGAGCAACATCGAATTGCCTCCTTTCAAAGGCTAATAATTGTATTGATCATAATAAACAAATATACTTTATTATTGCACTGTTTGAAGTGTATATTTGTGATTATTGAACTTTTATTATTATAAGTTAGAACAAATAAGATTGTTTCGTATTTAGAGATACAGCTTAGTAAAAAAAAAATTATCTCAATGAAGGTATATATTAGAACCTTCCTATAATTTTTGTTATTTCATTAAAAATCAACTAGAAATGAATATTATACAAAACATCATAAAGTTAGAATTAATATTCAATTTATTATGGAAATAAATGCAAAATGATTTTTTTTAATTTTAAATATTATACTATAACAGAAACAAGCTGAGAAAAATATATTAACAATAATCCAATTTAGGTAGGTATTTACATATAAAAATATGAAATGACAAATTTAGAAATATAATTTATAAAATATTCAACAAACTAAATATATATCAACAACTATGGTAGGTTATATTAATATAACAAATGTTTATATCATCTTAAATTTTTATTTCTATCACTTAGTAACCTTTAATATAATAAATCTTATAGTTCCATGTATAGTCATACATTAATTACATGAATTCTTAAGCTTAAATTAAAGAATTAATTTATTAAACTTTTGAATAATTAAAAAAATATCAATAATTATATCATGGTCGGCCGTGCTCCAAGTAATTATATTACCACAGGACCGATTTCTTTCAATGATACGTCAAAGAATCTTTTAAGATAATTCAATTTCTTCGAAAATTATTTTTTTTTAACAATTTTGAAATTTTAATCATTCAAATCAATATATATATATATATATATATATTATGATATGATATATAATATATATCAGACAGATTTTGATCTCAAGTAACTACATTTAAATATCATTGGACTGATTACATATTTATAAACATTATTTTTACAATAGATAGAACAAAAACATACTTTGGTAGAACAACTATTATAATTGAGGACTTTTTTTTCTCAGCGGACTTCCTAGAATTCGAAAAATTATAAAATAAATGGGACCTAGACAAATGTAATTATTACACAAAATAAATTTATGTTATAGAGTAACCCAATTTTATGTAACAGATACAATGTCAAATGTTGTATTAAATAATTATATATTTGGAGTGTTAATTGTAATTTCCCACCTTAATAAATATATTTTTATATAACCATAATTTTAATGTTTATGCCTATAGAAAATAGTGGTAGTTTCCCTATCGCGTCCCGTTTTAGCTTCGATGCAAAGCTGAGAAGGTATTGGTTTTACTAAGATGTTTTTTTTTTTTTTTTTGTGCCTGTTACCACTTTTTCTCAGCTCTTACCGAACGGATTTCTTTTAACGACACGTCAAAAAATCACAAAGCGTTATCCTCAAAATTGAAAAAAATTCCTTCGTTCCCCGTAAATGGGGAAAATCTCCAAAAAATTACAAATCTCTAATTTTTAACATTTTTAACATTTTTTTACATAAAACTGCTATAAATTTTTCAAAAATGAACAAATCAATATAATTTTTTTTATAGATACATAATGTCTTAACCTATCATTTGGTATATTTTTTTTATAAATCTGACTCCTTACCTGCCCAATGGGGGAGATTCCAAATATAAATTTTTTCACAAAGAGTTAACTTTTGAAAGTGTTCCGAAAAGTCTAAGACCAATTTGGTATATTTAAAAAAATGTTCATAACTTCAAGATTGATGGTTAATTTGTCGTCGGGATGGCGAATGGCATTTTAATTTACTGAATTTATTTATAGCTAACTAAATGGAACCATTTGCAATAGATTCCCATAACCAACAAATGTTATTTAATATCTTTTTTATGATTTAATTTTATTACTCCTCAATTTGTAATAAGGATTTTTAATTTTACTCGCTATAAAATTAATTTTTTTTAAATAAAATTAAATATATATATTTACTTAAGTAACTTTTAAAATAAAAAAATTCATCAGATATACATTATATATTAGTGAAATAACATTTGATTCGTTATCCAGAAAAACAATGTGCATATGGCTAAAATGTTTGAAAAAATGAAAATAGCCGGTATATACGCTTATTTTTATATTATTGATAATCGTTTTAAATTATAGGGATTATCGAAAAATTTATAGTTGATAAAAAGTTATTTTATTAATTTATCAAGTTGAATTATTCCATTATTAATTAAAAAACTGACATCTAGTTCCTTTTAATCAATTAATAATTTTTTTGTTTATTTTTTCTTAGCATTCAGAAACATATACGCGAAACATTATAACAAAGTAATTAAACATTTAAAAAAACATGAAATCGCACCGGAAGCACTTGTTCGATTAGAAGCTGCGGGATTTAGAATTGATTGGAATACGGCTGATGACTCATTACATCTAAAAAAAGTATGACACATTCAAAACGTCTAACCTCCGTTTGTGCCGTTCGTGGCACATTATAGAAGGTCTGAAGGCCCTGTTTCGCACTCACTTATTTACTAATCCTTCTTTAGCAAAGTAACTATCAGTAATTATTTCCTATAAACTTTATTGTATTATTTTATCTGTCTGAACTACCTTAACTCAATTTTATAAGTTTTAAAAAAATCCACCTACTTCTTGTTAAAATAATTAATACTTTTGAACTAAAAAAAATACGCTATTATATAAATAATTGACGTATACATTTTTTTTATTAACATATTTCTTCTTCTTCCTCGCCTTAATCCCAACTACTTGGGGTCGGCCACCCTTATCCTAAACTTCCACTTGACACAATCTCCCACATTCTCTACGCTCACATCATCTATCCTCATATCGCATTCAATAACATCTCTCTATCTCTTTTTGGTCTTCCTCTACCTCTTCTTCCTTCAACATTCATTTCTATAACTGTTCTTACTAGCGATGGGAAATATCGAATAGAAACTATCGAACTATTCGATAGTTGTCCACTATTCGAACTATTCGATAGTCATTTAAAAAATATTCGAATAGTAAAAATATTCGATAGTTACACAATATATTCGAATAGTTTTTAAACTATTCAATAGTCTATTCGAATAGTTTTTAAAACTATTCGATAGTTTATGCTAAAAATAAACTATTCAGTTGTATAAACACAATTTGAATAGTTATACGATACTTTAAAATATTTGAAAATGCCCATCACTAATTTTTACTATTATTAATTGTATAATAATTTATTTATAAGTATTCATTAATTATCTTCTTATTATAATTAAGTATACTTAATACAAATTTTAGGTAAAACTAATCGAATATTTTTTAAAACCATTCGGTAGCCCATTCGAATAGTTTATGCCAAAAATAAACTATTCGATAGTTTATGCTAAAAATAAACTATTCGGTTGTATAAAAACTATTCGAATTGTTATTCGATAGTTTTCAAAAACTATCGAATACTATTCAATAGTTTAAAATATTCGAAAATGCCCATCACTAGTTCTTACGGCTTCCAATTAAAATTTTGAATATTTTTTTAAATGTCATTAATTACGGTAATTTCAACAAATATTTTTTAATTTCTAAAATTAAGGAGTTTTACAAATTTTTAGATTCAACTAGATAAAAATCTGGTTCTTTTTATGTATAAATCATAACCTAGTAGACCGTTCCCGCCTATTGCGTATTTGGACAAATATTTATAATCCCTTTGATTCGTGTCTCAAATACCGACAACCGTCTGAAAGATGACGAATAACAAATGCTGATGAACGAATGTCGAACACTCATTCATACAAGTAACCCATTCACACTGCTTGATAAATATAGACAAATAACGAATAATAATGGCAATATATACGACTAATGGGAACAAATTAAGGAATATAATAGGAGTAATGGGAAATCAGATTAAAATTCATGCAAACATAAAAAGTTTACTCTGAACTTATGTTCTTTAGTAACACATTAAAAACAGTCAACTATATAAATGACGTGTTACAGTTGAGCCCGACGCAATCAACTATAAACGCATTTTTTTGTGACTATCATTTATTTTCTTTATTTTCTTTTCTTAATTTTACTATATTTTAAGTTTTAGCTTCGATACAAAGCTGAGAAGATATTTTTTTGTGGCTATGATTTATTTTGCCAACCCTCACTAGACCTACTATTTCAAAGATACGTCAAATGATTATAATTCGTATTTAATTTTAGTTATTTCTCTTAAAAATCGAAAAAATATTCCTTATTCAAATAATAAGTAGCTTAACCAGAGAATTTTTTCACGGAAATCGTACATTCTTCTTTAACTTTGATGTCCGTTTTCACCACGAAAACAAGTCCAGAGGTCAAATTTTTTTTTCTTCAAATTAAAGTATATTACATTAGCTTTAATTTAAGATATTTATAAAAGTGTCAGTCTTTCCGGAATACTTTCAAAAATTAAATTGAATATGTCCTAGTTTCATATGCATGTTTAAAGTTTTGACCCCCCTGATATAAAGGGGTATGATCGGATTTATAAAAAAAGCGTGTCAGATGAAAGAGGTATATAAAAATTTATTATAAAAAATAAAAATAATATTGATCTATACATTTTTACAAAAGTTATAACAATATAAATTTAATAATATAAAATATAAAATCGAGAATTTTTTGACGGAAATCGTACGTTTTTCTTTAACTTTGATGTCCAATTTCACCACAAAAACAAGTCCAGATGTTAAATTTTTTTTTTCAAAATAAAGTATATTACATAAGCCTTAATTTAAGTTATATATAAAAGTTTCGATCTTTCCGGAACATTTTCAAAAGTTAAGTTGTAAAAGTTACCATTTTGAAACCTTTCCTGTGGGCTGGTTGTTGGATACGGATCACGAAAGGGCGTTTTATTAAAATTTGTATTATGACTCATAACGCCACTCGCACTACCACCACTGGTTGTGCGAGAAATTCATTATGTCAGATGATAACGTACGCGTTTGATGTATGATATCGATGTGAAAATCCTTTGAGTTGTAGTGTATGTGGTGCTGTAACTATTTTGGCCCTTGTCAATGTGTTCCATAAGGCTTTTTCGTGCATAATAGTTTTTTTTATATATAGACAATCGCCATAGCGATTCGTGTGTATCTTAGTACGCAAATATAGTAAATTCGCCCTGCGACTCGCCTGTACCCATGTACATCGCCATATCATCGCTTTGCGATTAACCACATCCTATTGATGTTAGTGAATTGTATCCACCATTTTGTTGAAAGGTTATTCATTCCAGATCAGTTAATTTGAACAACTTTCAAGACTACAGTAATAGCTAAGTAATCTTATAATAATCTTATTACTTTTACATATATTACTATTTATTTGTCTCTGCGCCAGTGTGGCATTAGTGTTAAGTGCCCCCCCCCTCTTTAACATTAGTACATATATAAGAATGTTTCATGTTAAAAATACAGTTTATTGTTTTATATTCTTTCAATACATTTATTCATTTATACAGTCCACTCCATACTTCTTTCTCCTGCATGATATATATACTCCAGAAACGAACAGTAACTAACCTGCACATCATTACCGGGCGTTTCGTTCAAACACTGGTAAAGGGTCAAACATTTACAAAAATATATAAAATGATAGGTAAATACCTAAGGTATCTATAAAAAAAAATTATATCGATTCGGTCATTTTTAAAAAAGTTATGACAATTTTTAAGGGTTATGTGTTTGACTAGATACGATTTGTGAATTTTTGACGTATTGTTCATCAAAATCGGTCCAGCGAGACCTGAGATTGAGCGTTCACAGGCACAAAAAAAAAAAAAAATAAATAAATAAAAAAAAAAAAAAACACATCATAGTAAAATTAATACCTTCTCATCTTCGCATTGAAATTAAAAAACGACGAGGCAATTTAAAACATTATCAATTTTTATTCTTTACTCAAAACTTTATTTTAAATATATTTTATAAGACGCTTTTTTGGTAATGAAATTGACCGTACGTAAATTACGAAAGAACAAAAAAAAAATTGATTTTATTGAATGTTTAAATTATTGTATACTTTTAAGTTTTACACGTTAGATCAATCCAGTATTGGCGGCCAGTACTTGTTGCTGGCACAATATTTCTTTAATACTGGTCATACAAAATCGTACTTAGTCAGTCAATATTAGAAAAGCGTTATTTATCAATCAACTCTTATCATTTGTAAATTTATAAACACTAAATAGTGTGATCATATTTTAAAATTTAAATAATTTATTTTAAATAAATCATCTTACCCAGGTTACTCTATGGTTACTTTTTGATTTTACTCAAAAAATCATGTCGTCTCCATTATTTTTATTTTGAAAAAGTCTGTATTACTTATTTTAAATGATTATTAATGAGGTTACGTTTTGGTGCTACCACTGGACCGTAACACTTAATAGTTTTGTGGATATTTAACGTCTAATAATAATTTATACCTTAAATTAGCATAGTTTAGCCCGATCATTTAATCACAACAATTTATTAACTTCCATTATAATTTTATGGAAAATTAATTAAAGGTTATTAAAAAATGTTGCAAACAAAGATCAATGTTGGCACAAAGTGGGGTAATTCCTCGCACATAATAAGGATGTAATTGGAGTTTTGTTTTAGGTGGGATATACAAGAATATATAAATTAGAAAAGATGTAAATATCCTCTCCAAACGGATAAGATGTTGTCTTTTTATTATAAACAGCCTAACACTGAAACATACATCATAGCTGGTTTCAATATAGTCTTATAAAACTTACCTTTCAGCCACATTGGAATTATTTTATAGCATAACATACCAGACACTCCAATCCACTTCAACCACTGTTACATAAAACTGTGTCTACCATCCTCGTCAATACCACCGCTCTTTTGCACAACTGATTCTAAATACTTAAAACTTTCCACCTCTCCTATCACATTCTCGCTTATTGTCAATAATCCCCACATTTCACCTACCTCCTGTACCCCTTTATAAAATGTACTCTATATATTTTCTCCTATTTATTTTTAAACTCTTTTCTTCAAGAGTTGATCTTCACACATCTAGCCTTTGATTGATTTCCTCCTATTAACACTATATCGTCGTCAAATAACATTCATCCATCACTATGAAAATAAGTCAGGACTTAAAGCAGAACCTTGGTGCACTCCTACTCTTACCCTAAACTCTTAAGTTACTTCTCTCACACTTTTTACCCTATTATAAGTGCCATAATACATATCTTCTATTATATTAATGTACCTTTTCGGGACTCATTTTCTCATTAATGACCACTTTAAAACCTCTATCGGTACTCTATCATACGCTTTCTCCAAATCTATAAATATTATAGAAAATTTTTTATTCTTTTCCCTATACTTTTATATTAGTTTATTAGTTATCTTTCCAAGCAAAATACCAATGTAACTAATATATTTTATTTGTATTTTATGTTTAACATTACTTCTTTGGTAAATATTACATTAATTATTAAAATTGTTTTTTATCAATAAAAGTAAAATTATTGTGCTTGCCTGTTTTAATAATTGATTCAACACCTCTTTAGAGAAAAAATTCTAACAATGACCCTGCTTGTAGAAGTGTTTATCTATTCTACTCGACAAAATTACAAATTATTATAATTTCATTTTTTTTTTAATAATTAAGATTTTTATAGGAAACCTTGACTATATGAACAAGTCATAAAATGATAAAATGATTCGAAAATCAATTTTTCTTTTTTTACATTTTCATTTTTATAGACATCACAAATAATTTTAAAAACTTATACTGAACATTTTCAATTCGACTGGTACATGATATATAGTGTGGTGACCAAACAATTGATCCATACTCAAGATGAGATCTAACTAAGGAAAAATATAAAGTTTTTAAGGCATTAGTATTTTTAAAATTTATCGTGCTTCTATTAATAAAACCAAGCTTCTTAAAAGCTTTTTTAATAAAGGTGTTAATATGGGTGGAAAAATCCAAATTAAAATCTAAGATTATCCCTAAGTCTGATAGAGGCAACTCTTGTAACTATATTACTATCAATCAAATAATTA